ACCAATTTATTCGGAATGATTTGTTCTGCGTTCAGTGAACTTTCTTGATGTAACCTTAAACTTGAAAGAAAATAACTTCACTCCCTATCGAAAACCAAATAATGATCCCATTTATATCGATAGCCGTTCTAATCATCCACCATCAATTATCAGACAACTCCCAAAATCAATTAATAAACGTATATCCTCCCTTTCCTCCGACAAACCGAGTTTTGATTCAGCCGCTCCTTTATACGAAAATGCACTGAAGCAAAGCAATTTCAATACCAAACTAAGGTACGACGATGAAACAAATAGTAGTAAGCCCAAGAAACGAACCCGATCAAGAAACATTATTTGGTACAATCCGCCCTACAGCAAGAACGTGAAGACGAAAGTTGCAGAAAATTTCCTTCGTTTAATAGACAAGCATTTCCCCAAATCATCGATCCTACATAAAATTTTCAACAGAAACTCTGTCAAAGTCAGTTATTCATGCATGAACAATATTAAAGCATCAATTTCAAACCACAACCGGCGCGTTCTTAAGAATCAGAATCCCTCCCAAATTCCATCGAAATCGTGCAACTGCAGAATTAAAAGTAAATGTCCACTGAACGGCAATTGTCTCGTGAGAAGCGTTGTGTATAAAGCCCAGATTACAAGCGACAATGGGAAAGTGGTCAAGAATTATATAGGAATGACGGCGGGTCCTTTCAAGCTACGATATAGCAATCATTTGAAATCATTGAACAATGAGCGCTATTCGACAGAGACAGAACTTTCGAAATATGCTTGGGGTCTTAAATCGCAGAACAAATCATTCCGAATAAATTGGTCGGTCATGAAGCAAGTTCCAGCCGTTTGCCCAGGAATGAAAGTTTGTTCTCTGTGCACCGAGGAAAAAAGAATAATTATGTTATCGGACAAAATTAATACATTGAATATAAGATCTGAATTGTTTAGCAAGTGTAGGCATAGGAACAGTTATAAAGCTTCTAATTTCAAACGCGCGCGCGCAAGTAAACACAATCGTTTAAATGCTTGCGTCAGCAATCTAAGCGCGTCAGCGTAAACCGATGTAATTTATTGCGAGATAATTAACATCAATCGCCTGATGATCGTACGCTGTACGTGAAACACTGTGTAGCGATGAAATAAAATTTTAAGATTGAAATTTGTTGTTTATGTCTTTTTATATATATATATATATATATATATATATATATATATATATATATATATATATATATATATATATATATATATTATATATATATATTATATATATATTATATATATATATATATATATATATATATATATATATATATATATATATATATATTATTATTATTATTATTATTATCATATAAAATGAAATGTCAAGGTTCCTTTTTCGAAAATGTTTCTAAATTCTCCCTCTCACAACTTAACACAACCTGGTCTGTATCGCAATCAAAGCTACCAAAGAACATTTTCAACTTTACAATTCGCTATATAAATAATACCCTTCCTACCCGAAAGAACCTCAGTAGATGGGAAATTTTATCAAGTTCTGACTGCTCGTTCTGCTTACACCCTGAATCACTTCTACACGTTGTTGCCTGTTGTCAACATTACTTGGAACGATTCACTTGGAGACACGATTGCAATTGCATACTAAACTTTCTTGCAAAAACTTTTCAAAGTTTAAACAAATGCAAATTACTTGTTGATCTTCCTGGATTTGAAAGCCCCTCGATTATTACGGGAGATGAATATCGTCCTGATTTACTTGTCTCCACTTCAGACAAACACCTCTACGTTGTTGAACTTACTGTAGGCATTGAATCAAAACTCACGAACAATGTTAACCGCAAGAAAGCTAAATACAAGAACCTAATTAGAGAACTGGATCAAAACTTTATATCTGTTAAATTTATAAATCTTTCTGTCAGTTCGCTATAGGGGTGTTTGACAAAGAATGTCATACATTCGTAAAAATGCTAAATGAGTTAGGACTGGATAATCAACACCAACAATATTGTATCAGAAAATGATATATATTGCCATCCGATCAACGTACTACATATTTTGCTGTAGAAATAAAGAATGGACAAATCCCGAACTAATGAACATTTAAAGTAACTATTTCTATAAATAATGAACAAATTTTTGTATATAAAATTATAACCATGTATAAGTGATTCAAGTAGTCAATTGTAGGTTACCTGAAGAAGTGAGATTTGCAATTGTATATGTCTATAAATTTTCTATTAATAAAGTTTTCATTATTACAATTCAATCCTGAACTTCCTTGCCAATACCTTGCAAACTGTAAACGGTTCTGCCCTCTACGCTGATGTGCCTGGATTCAAAAGTCCTTCAATTATAACTGGTGATACGTATCGCCCGGATTTGTTGCTATCGTTATCAAATGGCTCTGTTTATGTGGTCGAGCTCACTGTTGGCTATGAGACAAACCTCGAGAACAACGTTAATCGGAAAAAGCCAAATATAAAGAACTAGTAAAACAACTAGACGAAAATTTTAACGAAGTAAACTTTAAAAATCTTTCTATGAGCTCCCTAGGTATTTTTGCGCAAGAATGCTCTACATTCTTAGAAATGTTAGGAAATGTTGGTCTGGACAAAAACTACCAAACGTACTGTGTTAGGAAAATGATGAAGTACATACTATATTTTTTGCTGCCGAAATAAGGAATGGGAAAGTCCGGACTTGTTAACTATTTGAAATATCTGATTGTCTTGTATATTTATATATTTTCATGTATTCTGTCTTATCATTTGTATTAGTTCATATAGTTGTGATTCAAATAGCCAATTGTAAGTTACCTTAAATTAGTGAGATTTACAATTGTATATATATAGTATATAACAAAATTATTAAAGTTTCCATTATTATTATTATTATTATTATTATTATTATTATACCTTGCAAACTGTGAACGGTTCTGCCCTCTACGCTGATGTGCCTGGATTCAAAAGTCCTTCAATAATAACTGGTGATACGTATCGCCCGGATTTGTTGCTATCGTTATCAAATGGCTCTCTTTATGTGGTCGGGCTCACTGTTGGCTATGAGACAAACCTCGAGAACAACGTTAATCGGAAAAAAGCCAAAACTAAAGAACTAGTAAAACAACTAGACGAAAATTTTAACGAAGTAAACTTTATAAATCTTTCTATGAGCTCCCTAGGTATTTTTGCGCAAGAATGCTCTACATTCTTAGAAATGTTAGGAAATGTTGGGCTGGACAAAAACTACCAAACGTACTGTGTTAGGAAAATGATGACTATTGCCATTCGAAGTACATACTATATTTTTTGCTGCCGAAATAAGGAATGGGAAAGTCCGGACTTGTTAACTATTTGAAATATCTGATTGTCTTGTTCCCGAGCCGTGCGAGGGTACTAATTCCCCCCGGCTATTTACACTCGGGGAAACGAAAGCATTAGCGGAGTCTAAAGTTCATCAAATATCGCGGGCGTGGGTGACCAACGATGGGTGGTCATCCTCACTGATCTCAAAAATATGGCGGACTGTCATGAATAGCGGACACTGATTGGTCCAATTTAAATTTTGCATTATAACGACTGGCACGAATGTATCACGACAGCGAAATAGCAAACATTTCTTGATTTGATGATTGATAAATTTCTTGCAAATATATTTCATTTTTACTCGCATTTTTGCAAGATTTTGTAAATTTCAAAAGCTCTCTCAAAACGAAACTGCGAAAGAATCGTCTAATAGAAGGGAGCCGACGTTAACGAAGGTAAGTTTGTTTTAAATATTGATTTTATAATGGCTTTAAAACCCGACGGCCTTTGCGTATATGAAACAACTAAACAAACATCTTTAATATTGATTCCCTTTTTTATGATATTGAATTTCTAAATAAAAAAGAAAGCACTGAGTTATTTGCAAGCCAGAATTTGAAATCATTTTATTGCTAACTCAAAGTTTATCGATAAAGCCATTTTAAAAGGCAGTTTAGTTTTATAATGAACACTAGTGACTTTAAAACGTTTTGCGAAGCGTTTGTGGTTGAATTTTACCTTAAATTGAGGCTTATATTACGTATAAAAACATACCTAACATATAGTTATGTTGGGAAATTAATAATTTTGCAATTAAAAGTGATATTTTTAGGCGATTTTTCATTTGTAAGAATATTCTTAAAAAATTATCGTGTTACCATGACAACTACTTTAGAACTTCATGTTCGGAAAGTACAATGGTTTTGTCAGCAAGGCGAGGGTTTCTGCATGCATGTATTTTCTAGTATTACGTATAATAACTTACCTAGCATATACTGCGATTTGCAGTTGAGCTTAGAGACAGGAAGTTTTACCGTACAGTTTGATCGTTGAAACGCACAAGTTACCAAGGGCAAATTCAAATGTTGTCAAGCGGAAATGCGAATGTTGTCATGGGAGATTTAGGCAATTTCGGCCAATCACAGTGATGAAGGCGTTGCCCCAAATCAAGCGCATAAGTTCAAACATAGTACTATTGTTCCCAGTAAACTGTGCGAAACGACCGTTTTTTAGGCGCTTTGTCAGTGACGGTTTTGTCAATGGCAAAGGACATATTTGTGTACCACGCGATTACAATCCTTTGCAAGCGGCGTGTGAAAAACTGCAAGTTTCAGTTTGACATTTCTGGCAGTTGAATGGTTTATAATTTTATTGTCCAATCAGATGCGTAGTTTTGAATTTTAAATCATCTGATTGGACAATAAAATTAGAAACCATTCAACTGCCATAACTGTCAAACTGAAACTTGCAGTTTTTCACACGCCGCTTGCAAAGAATTGTAATCGCGTGGTACACAAATATGTCCTTTGCAATTGACAAAACTGTCACTGACAAAGCGCCTAAAAAAACGGTCGTTTCGCAGTTTATTGGGAGCAATAGTACTATAATAAAGAAATCTGTTCAACAACGCTTTATTATATATTTGTTTCTTGTATAAAACATGTAGATTATGAGTATATTATGTGGTAATAAAGCATGGAAAAAGTAAGTAAAAGGAAAAGAACATATGTTAGAGGCAAACCGCTCGGAAATGACCTAAGATCTTTGATTATTGATGAAGTTATACATTCTGGAGGGAATATAATAACTCGAGAATACCCTGGGAATTTTTCTGCAATAGCTAAACAGTTCTCTGTTCATGACTCGACTGTAAAAAATATTTGGAGCAATTACTGCGAGAACAAAACACTTGATCCAAAAAAGAAAAAGGGCGGAAATCCAAGCAAATTACATGATGGTGATTTGGAACTTATCGAAACGTTAACAAGGATTCGTCCAACTATCAGTCTAAACGAACTAAAAGACGACGTAGAATTGTATGATCCAAAGCCTGATGGAGTATCCATTTCAGCTATTTCCAGGGCGTTAAAACAAAGAATGCCTTCTGGTTTGCAGTATTCACGAAAGAAAGTAAACAAAGTTGCTATCGAACGATTTACCCCAGTTAATATGGTCTATACGCAGATGTTTATAAACTACCTGCATTCTAAGGACCCACGCAAGTTGAAATTTTTTGATGAAGCAGGATTGAAATTGCCACATCACGGGACAAGATATTACGGACATGCTCCGGTAGGCGAGAGATGTATTGAACTGGCACGTTATCATCAAACTCCTAATATAACACTGAACCTTCTCGCAGGTTTAGAGGGAGTTGTGTACGCTAACACTGTTAAAGGTGCTGCTAGCACTGTGCATCTGTTGCAGTTTTTCGGAGAGGCTGCACAAGCTGGAAATGTAATTACTCAAAGACCAGCGCTTGAATATGGGGATATTGTTGTGATGGACAATTGTCCAACCCATCATTACGATGGCGAAGAAGTATTAACTGAGTTTCTGAATGAAATAGGTATAGAGCTTGTTTATACCCCTACATATTCCCCCGATTTTAATCCCGCTGAGTTTGTATTTGGAAAGATCAGGACTGAAATGCGGTATGCTTTATGGGAACTGACAAATCGAAACTTGGTATTATCCGTTTATGAAGCAATTGACAAAGTTACGGAACAGGATACGATTGGATTTTTCAGGGCGACGTCGTACATTTAAAAAACATGATCAAAAACCGCTTTATATTAGTAACTGAGAACTTTAAGTTAATAAAAAATGTTATATACATAGTCTGATAGTCGTAGCATATCGGTTTGTTTATTACAATAAAATGTAACAAAGATCATTGTAAATACAAAATCGTATTAAAATAGAATATGACGCATCAACATTTGTAAAAATTTGACAAGTTTCTAAAGGGAAAAATGCGTGAAATATTTCATTGCCAAACGTTATAAAAACGAAATGCTTTATTTTAATATTACATATCATTATTATCTGCATGTATAATACAGTTTTATGTCCAAAATATAACTGTAAAATATACAGAATTCAACACAACCGAATTAATAAAAATATCAAAATCGCAAAGTCAAAGACAAAGTTTTCCAGTGTTACAGTAATTTCTATATTATTGGAGAATGTTCGGTTTATTCACTCATGCATCACTGTAATATTCGTCTTCCTCACAACTGGGCGAAATTGTCTCCGAAAGGGCGGCATGAGCTAAAATATCAAGACAATTAGCCGCGGGTGCTAGAGGTGGATAAGTTCTATTACTAGAAATTGGAGTTACATGAGCAGTTTGCCTCATATCTATAGTTCCCCTGTTCTCGTGGTTTATGATACCTGCGGCTGTAGTAATAGTATAATTGTTTATTGCAGAATCAAAATTTTCTTGATTCCAACTTGAAAGTTGCTTCGTACCATCACAAGGCACTAACACGTGAATCTGCTGATTGACGCTAGGGAATAAATGCTGCGTAGCTGCAGGCTGGGTCGTGACTGGATTTGTTTCTTCTATTTTGCTAGATTGGTTCAAAGCATTTTGCAGCTCAATAGCGAGCACAAAATCTTCCTGCTCTTGTTTGCTACTAAATGAACTCGGTGAAGAACCATCTGTCAATTTTGATCTCTTAGGAAATTTTATACCATGGTCGATAAGGATTTCCTTGCGTGGATTGTCGTAAATCGATCTTTTTTCAAGATTTTTTGTACATTTATTTAGCCCCGTCTTTAGTAGTTGAGGTATTTCAATTTCCGCACATCATTCTATTGCCACAATTTTGCCGCTTCGCTCGAGCTATTGCATCATCTAAACACTGCAGTTCAGTCTTTTTTTCTTGAACATTATCGCGTGTATTTTTTATATCAGCATCCCGCTTCCTAAACAATCTTTGCACAGGAGTAAGAAATTCCACTTCTTGACTCGTCATATCAAGTTGTCTTCGACTTTTAGATTCATAAATGGACGACGGTTGCACGTTTGCACTATTATCAATTTCTTTTATGTCCGTTTGATGATCATTAATCCGCGATTTTGTTGTGGCGTACGTATAAGGCAAATTAAGTTATCCCGCCTTTAATCTGAGCCGCTTATATTCCCTGTCGTTAAGTGAGACTGCATTATTCCACATTTCCCTATAACCTTTCTCGTCTCCGTAATTAATGTTTACATAGTTTCCTTCGTCATCGCAATATCTTATTCGAATTGTTGTTGAAGTTAAATGTGACAGAGATGGACAACGGCCAGTTATATCAGTCACCAAATCGATAAACATGTAACTCCCACAGTGCACATCACTCATGTCAACAAAGAAACTTGATAACTCATATTTTCACGAACAATTTATTAAGAATCAGGGTGTGATAATTCAATATTTTTAGCCGTACCTGACTGGTACTCCAACAAATTTTGCCGCGTACCTGATCTGGTACAAACTTAGAGACAAGGCGTACCTAAGACTACTTCCGAGTCATGTGTTTTTATACCTACGTATAGTTTACTGGTTTAAAAGCAAAAAAGGTATGGGCAATTTTGTACAAATGAATTTTTAATTATGGTATTTGTACAACATAATATAACAGTTTTTAAGCATTGTTGTTGTGACTCGAATTCCATCGGTATTCGTATAGCATTGACAATTAAGCCCAGGTCACACCACACCACGGTAAGAATACGATAACTTGTAAACATGCGATGATTGGTCAAAAAAATTATGTTGTGTCCACACTACAACGAAAACGATAAAATTATCGGCATTTGACGATAACGATTTTAAAATCGCTCACCCGAGCGATTTTTTTTCAGTCGGACGATGACGATAAATGTTTTGATCAAGCGCATACAAGTTATCCTATCGTTATCGTTGTGTAGTGTGACCGGACCTTTAGGGCTTTAAAGGCATTGTTCACTTGCATCGAAACTGTCTAGACGACTCGGACTCCTAGTAATAAATCTGTCAGTCACCATTCAGTTCGACCAGGCTAGTGCAACAATCATTTAGTACTGCACTTTCAAGCTCTTCTATGTCATTGTCCATGATCTGATCATTCAGACTGTCTTCAATAATCGGGAGAGAAATCTGAGAAATTGGCTCTAATTGTGTCAAATCCTTGTTCTTTGACTTCGTTTCTTTCTATAGCCAGTGCTATGGTTTAAATGGCGAACTCCCTTGCCTTCGTCCAGCCATGTTTGCAAGGGCGTCAGTGGATCATAATCTTCGAGTCTAGGGCCATCAAGAGCTTGCTGCGCCAAGTTGCAACGTGACTTGATTTTTTCCCGGTTCATACAAGAAAAACCTCTCTCACATGCTGCTGTGCTCGGAGATATAGTCATCATTAACTGAATGAGAATATGGATGTTTTGAAGCTCGTCATCTTTCTCTCGTAAAATTTCTCTGTATAGATCTGCAGAAGAAATCTTTGTATCAGCTTGGTCGTATACTCCTTTAAGCTTCAACAATTTATGCCTCAGGAGTGGCCATTCTCTTACAATGCCTTCTTTTTCGCACTGACTTATGTATAAATGTTGCTCGTAGTAGCTAACGAGTTCCTCCAACTCTTTGAAACCCCACTGTTTTGCAACCTTTGAATCTCTGAAGTTAGGAGGCCATGGTCGGTAATCGAATATTTTGATCATGTTGTTCAATGGTGGTTTTGTCAGGTCGTTGAATCGCCTTGTCAGGTAAGTGTCAGCTGCACCTAAAATGTCTCCAAACCTCCTGTCGAAAAACTCTTTAAATTCAATGGGCATCTTTGCTTGCATATAAATTCGACTGCTGGATCTGGTGGTTGGCTTTTCCAAGATAACTTCTCTATATATGATATCACCATTTATGTCAACAGTTAGTTCATCCATCAGACGTTTGTAGTGCTTACCAGGTTGAACAGAGAGCATGTCCAGCTTAACTTTTGCACTCTGAATCTTTGCGTCAATGTCAACAATTAACAACTCATCTGTCTGGAAATTGAGCGATAATTGTCAGAGAATAATCACAAAGTCCATCAAGAAATGTAAATAAAACAAGAATTTGGGGTCCTTTAATTTCTTCAGGTAACCCTGTGTTTTCGTACCAGTTTCAGTTTTCTCGTAGCTTTTGCTTTCCAAATCATAGATTAGCACTTTATAGTTTTTTTCTATGACTGACAAAGCTCGGAATCTCGACGCAAGCCATCGAACCGATTTTAAGCAACCAAAAATTGTTTAATTTTTCTAAAACTTCTAAAACTCTTCTAAAACTTCGGCCAAATCTTTGAATTGCCGTCGTCTCACAGGTGATTGATAATAAAACTGAAAGATATCATTAATTAAATCGGAAAATTTTTGAAGATACTCCTCAGACTTTATGGCATCTAACACAGCAAGCTCGAGCCTATGAGCCACACAGTGGGTGAAAACTAGTCCCGGTTGCTTTTCCGCCATACGCGCACGAACACCACTAACATGGCCGGACATAACTGAAGCGCCGTCAAAGTTAGCGTTAATGATCTTTTTGTAAACACCGTTAATGTAATTTTCTTCGGTATCCTCCGACTGTGGTGTTGCGAAAGTGGACAGGGCGTTCTCAATAGACTCAGTGATATTTGCTGCATTTGGTCTTACGGGATTCTCTATCCCCACAAATTTTGTCTTGGGGTAACCATTCTTCACATACCGAAGATACACAGCCTCCTGTTCTACTATGGAAACATCCGTTGAACCATCACAGAGTACGGATCGAACCTTGTTGACATTGTCAGCTAAAGACTGGTGCAAGTATCTGGCATTGACTCCAACAAACATTCGGCAGGACTTGTCGGTCAAATAGTTTTCACCAAGTTTTATACCGTTTTTGGATTGCAACTTGCACAAACTTGGAAATTTCCGAAATGAAAGACCCTCTTTGGCTATATAGTATGAGGTGTTAAATAACGCCGAAAGCTGGAGTTGCTTGTTTAAAGAAAGTCGCTTCTTTGCAATGAGAACAGATTTTTCAAGATCTGACGGATGTTCGGAGAACAGCTCTCGAAGATACTTTTTCAAACACTTGTCATGTTTTGGATCAGTTTCGTGGCGATTGACAACATTAACGTGCCACAATTTGCTGCCTTTTGTTACAGAATTTTCATTATTGGCCAAAGACGGATACTGACGGCAAACAAAGCAAGTGAATTCAGCTTTCTCCAGATCAAATTCTATCCAGCACTTTTTCTTTTTTTGTGGATCTTCTGCTAATGGTTTGCCTGAAGGTGTTTCCCAAAAACAATACTTCTTTTTCCAAGTTTCAATTTTGGTAGTTGTCATTTTGTACTCACTACCTTTTTCAGGTGGTGATTTACGAGGTTTCTTGGCCGGCGTGCATGCTCTGGGATCACCCACCGAAGCATCATCTCTGGACGTTTTCTTGAAAAATCTTGCAATGCCTAACTGTGCCATAATACTTATTTGCACTTTTTCAAAAAATTGTCATCGAAATCAAAATTAAAATTTGGTTACTGGAGCACTATATGAAGTAGTGCCCACGGGATTCCATGTTCTTCCGCTGACCAAAACTGCTTAAAGTCACATAAACATATAAAACAACATGGAAGACAATATAAAAAAACACAGATATCTACAGTAACAAAGATAACCTTTTTTCATCCCAAAATATGTTGGATGCATGGAATTTACATGTACAGCTAAAATTCTTCACGGTTTTGAACACTTTGGCAGGTTTGCTAGTTATTGCTAGAAGGAAAATCTGTAAGTACGCAAATAGCAAATTTCCGCGTACCTATGTGGTACTTGCCTAAAAACGAAGAAGTACCAGACCATAAATTTGGCATACCTCTGGTACGTTGGTACGAGAATTATCGCACCCTGTAAGAATACAGGAAACAAATACTATATTCCAAAGCAGAGGCCAGAACGAACGATAAAAGTATAAATACTTTGGGTCTTGCGGCAACGCCTTCTTCACTGTGATTGACAGAAATTGCCTAAATCTCCCATGACAACATTCGCATTTCTGCTTGACAACATTTGAATTTGCCCTTGGTAACTTGTGCATTTCAACGATCAAACTGTACGGTAAAACTTCTTGTCTCTAAGCTCAACTGCAAATCGCAGTATTGCCTTCACGCTTATTCCACTGTAAACCCAACCAATCGAGCGTTTGGGCGGGTTCCCAAATAGATTTATTATCATGAGGTATAATCTTGCTTCACTGCGTTAGAATTAGTGCGACATAATTGTAGGTCTTCAGCAAGTGACCACTCATCGTCCAGAAAGATTGCTATATTAATATTTAAATAGTGCCAATGTTTTTCTAGCGGTTTGATAAGCTTCGTGAATATATAGGGCGCAGTCAATAAACCAAACTGGAGGACGGTAAAAACATAAAATTTTTCATGCAACAAAACTGGGCACTTCCATGCAAAACCCAATTACATGCAAAACAACAATTTACATTCTTCCTAAGATTTCCTTTGGGATTCTTTGCAAGCTTACACACATTAACTATCAAACTCATATTTCTGCCTGTAACATTCATTTACCTCAAACAACTCCTCATTGTCGACTGTTTGTTTTTCCTTGGCTTGACCAATCTCTGTACGCATATTCTGGCTGGCTATGGTATTGGTATACATTCTCAGACCAGCCCGCTCTGCATTCTCTTGCCCAATGTCCAAGTTTATTACATTTGAAACATCTACCGGATGTTTCACTAAGGTTTCAACAGTCTAGGAACAACAGCATTTAGAACCACAGAAATTATGTAAGGGGGGGGGGGCTTACTAAGCCAACGTTGCAACTCAGGATCTGACATTTTATAAGCTAAATATGTTATCTACTTGGATTCTGAACAAGGAGAGATCCAGTGTCTATAACTCAAGCAATTTATAGTTTCTACAGTCTGCCATATATGGCAAGCAGATACATCAATTACCCTGCTCATGCATACCAGCAGAAAATTCATTTATTGCACAACATACCAGCTGCAATCAGTTCATTGAGGATTAGCCAATCAGTCTTAAAATGTGGATGGATCAAACTTGCTGCAAGCAATTTGGAATCCCTCATCATGGTGCCAACCTATTGCCTATACCAGCGATGGGGGCTTCAGCAAGAGGTTCACAATAAGTTGACATGTCTTGGGTATTAACCAATTTTGATTTGAGTCCATTTAAGGATGGAAGAAGATAACCCATAAATCCTTTCTCCTCAGATTGCAGCAGATCGAGTGTTTGTGCAAAAGGTTCCATCACGTTCACATAATCATAAAAAAGCTCAAGCTTGTCAATTGTGAAACTAAAAGTTGTAAAATTACAGAAAATATTAAGCTGGAAGGTTCTAAATGGGCTAAAAGAGAGTTAAATAGCAAAGTATGATACAAAACATTATACCAAACACAAAATATATAGACATACATAGAAAATGTGATAGCTGGAGGCTACTCCATTTACTGTTCTAGTACATTTGGAACACTGTTCTGTAACAACATAAAATGAGTGCACACAGTATTCTGAACAGTGTTTAGTTTATATATGCATGCAACCATGCATTACTATATTCATTAGTTATTTGCATAATAAATCGTATAATGATTGCTGTTATTTGTATATCTAAGTATGCTTTTGCAACGTTTTTACTCATTGATTTTGCCTAAACCTAGCATTCAAATAGCATATAATAAGTATATGTTGATATATAGGGTAAACCCTTCAAAATAACTCTCCATAATAGCTTCGGCAGTTTGAACAGACTGAGAAGATTTATTCCAAATTGCAGTTGCTTTAGCTGAGGATGAACGATTCAACTTTTTGAATTGCGAATCTAATTCTGCATTTTGTGCATTCTTGGTTGCAATGAGAGTCAATGAGTGACAGGCACAGCATTGGTGAGGGGTAGTTGTTGTTGACATTTGTTCCACGACCATTGTTTTGTTGGTTCACAAGTGTTGCAGTAACATGCAAGGTCTTCATCAATGGTGTCCTGTTTGTCTAAGTCTTCATCCACAGAACCAAACATATGGAATGCTTTTACAAAGTTAGAGGCATTGTCAGTTGTGGTGGAGACAACCTTTTTGGCAATGCCAAATTTGGTATGGATTGAGCTAAGAGCTCCAGCCAGGAAGAACATCATCGGTATGCACGCCCAGGAAACGTTCATACAACAATGCAGCGTAGAACCGTTTAATAGTATTTGGATCAATCCAGTGTGCAGTCACCCCTACAAACGACCTTCCTCTAATTGACCACCCATCGGTTGTAGTGGCAACATAACTGACATCATAGACAATCAAAGGAATGGACTGGAAACGCTAGGCAAAACGCTATGCCTGCGAACGCGGCATCCGTGATACGGGCTAGCACGTATCAATTCATCAGTTACCGTGGCAACTGGCCTGTAAAAAAGTTTAAAAAATGTAGATTTTGCATATATTTTCCCCCTTTTTTTTAACAAACGCAAAGGTAAAAGATATTTTTTGGCGGTACCAAAAGCAGAGAATATATGCCAATGTGAGTACGTGTATATTTTTAATTTTCCCTATAAAAACAATCATTATAACTTCGGTTTTTCACAACGTTGACAAAACAATTACGCACGTATATTACATCTCTCCCTGTGTGGTTATATTTCGAACCCTGGAACTTGGCGACAAAGCTGTCACTTGTCTGCTAAGGCATATAGTTATACTCTCATATGTAATGTTGATTCCACTAGGACGTTCACAAATCCCTGCGATATACAAATTTTGTAATAAATATATTTTTTAACAGCTCACCTTGCGCGACTACGAAAAGATGTCAATTTTTGTTGTTCTAAATCCGAACCCTGTAACTACAGTTTTAAAAGAGTTTGGGATTTTAAGGTTACATATTTTGAACAAGAATAGACTAATGAGTTCCACTATCGCTTTTTTAAACTTCTTTTTGGCAAAACAAACTCAAAAATCAATATTGAATGTGTGTGCACTGTCTTTGAAAACACAAATGTCGCGATTTTTGTTTTTCGAGTATACACTTTATACTTCGAACCCTGTAACTACAGTTTTAAAACAGTTTAGGATTTTAAAGTCACATATTTTGACTTAAAGTTTAATTTGAATAAGAGGTGTCAAGTTAATGTAAAAATCGTTTGAACTTTATTGGAAGTATATTAATAGAGTACGTACCCATGCACATAAACACCAGGGCAATGGCGACATTTGTGTTGTCAAAAATAGTATGCACACAATCATTGATTATTTTTAGCCTTATTAACGCAAAAGAAGTTTAAAAAAGCGATAGTGGAACTCACTACCCAGCTAGCACAGTACGTAGACACAACGTTTTAAATTGGTTGTGGTTTGGTTAGGTCCGACCTAACCTTCAAATAACGTAATTAGAACGTTGTTCGTACACAACACTAATTAGAATGAATATCCTGACGTGGAAACTACGTTCTCATAACGTTATAGATTTACAGTTTCTACCAACGTCGAGAAAACGTTTTAAACACGTACGGGTCCACAGGTCGGTACGTGACAACTACGTTCTTATTGCGTTACAGATTTACGTTTTCCGCCAACGTCGGGAAAACGTTTTAAACACGTACGGGTCCACAGGTCGGTACGTGGCAACTACGTTCTTATTGCGTTATAGATTTACATTTTTCACCAACGTCGAGAAAACGTTTTGAACACGTAGCCAAACGTTTTGAAAAGAATTACACTTTCAGAGCAAGGTACATGTGTAATTACCGCTGTTCATATATCGACTGAGCCAAATATGCGTAATTTATTCTATTCTCAAATTGCAATGTATTTTATTTGCGCACGTTGTTCCCTGAGCATATAGTTTTTTGAGGCAAAGTTTACGGAAGAAATTATTCGATTTTCATATACACATTCGAAGGTATGTATATGTTCAACAGTAAATCTCTTCTAATGTAATGTATCTCTTCTTCGTGGAATGTCCATTCAAGGTTTTCTAACATTTGATTATTTCCTCTCATGTAGTCCTTCCGACAGTTTGTTGTTGACGTTCTTGCTTAAACCAGTAAATTGTGTCATACGAACGCGGAACGCCACGACTTTATAGTCCGAATGTAAGTATATATTTTGCTGTTTGGTTATATGTTTTTACTGTATTGCTGTCTTGTCAGTTGACCTTTGATATTTTCCTTTGATAAACGAGAAATTTTAAACACAATAGTAGAGCTTTCATGACATGGACACAGCATGATGCATTTTTTCGAAAGGGCATGTCTTAACAACTGGTAAATATTGTAGCTCATACTTTGCATTACAGTAAAATGGATTCTTAATCTGAGTATTATCATATTTTAACTGCATACATTCAACATGTTTGCTGCATATTATTATAGACTCGTTGCTGTAACATGAGAACTATAGGGAAATTTGAATATATAAGGCGCTTAGTTTGAATAATTTTGTGTTTGTTTTTTCC